TCTGGTTTTTTTTTTGGGGGGGGGGAGTTGTTGTTGGTACATATAGTTTGATAACTCTTTTGACTTCAAGTAAAAATATGTTGTAATGGTCTTCAACAGTATTGCATCCAGTGAATAGAGATTGCCAATCAAGGGATGAGAGATTGTTGTCTATAAGATCATAGTTGTCTTTTTTTAAGTTATAATTGGGGTGATGATGATTTTTGTGTGGGCGTATGTTGAGACAAAAGTCAATCATATTGTGGTCACTGTTGGAAAAGGGTTCTTTAGTTTGTATTCTGTAAATTAAATTCAAACTATTGCAGAAGATGAGATCAAGGAAGTTATTAAATCTAGTATTGTTGGTTACTAGTTGTTCCAGTCCCAGATTTGTAACAGCATTGTAGAAGGTTGCATGTATGGGTTCAGTTGTACATTCGTTTAGGGTCCAGTTAATATTAGGTAGATTGAAGTCACCAAGAAAGATAAAAGCGTGTGTGGGCAGGATATTGCCCATGTTAGTAGTGAATTTAGCTTGTTTACATGTTCGATGTCATAATCAGGCTCTGTAACATAGTAAGAATCGAAATGTGATATTTAAGGATAGTTCACAGATTATGGTCTCAGGAAGAGCAAGCTCCTGGGTAACTTGGATGTTTTTTAGATGCAAGGACTTTTTATAGAAGATAGTAACACCACCTCCTCTATGAATTTCACAATCTGATCGGTAAACATGATAATCTCTTACTGTGGTAATGGTGTCAGGGAGAGATGCATTGAGCCATGTTTCACAGACAAATATGATGTTGAATTTAGCCATATTTAGTAAGAGGAGAAATTCAGGTATTTTATTCACAAGGCTTCTTGCATTGAGTAATTTGCATTTAAGGCCAGCTGTAGTTGGAATTGAGGTAGTTAGGGGCGTGCATGCCTAGTCTTGGGTGATGGTGGATTGGTTGAAGATCAGGAATGAGGTATTATAGAAAAAGGAAGTAATTTTCCTTCCAATTAATATGGTTCTGATATCCTCCATCCTCCAGTTGGGTTTGGCTCTGAAGAGCTCTCTGTTGGCCTTTTCCCATACAAGTTAAATTTTTAAACAGAAACAGATGAAGAAATGCTCCCCCTCTTGGCGAGAAACTAGACTATTTTTAGAGAACTGGGAATATTGCTGATGCTTTCACTTAGGTAGCTAGCTGCTATAACGATTATTTTTCCACATCTTGTTCTCTTTTATTCAAAGACAAATCTGGGTTAAGAATTGTGAAGCCTTGAATAAGGGGGTTCAAAAATCCAAACGAACCCTAGATGGCAGCAAGCATTTTGGATTTTTTAAATTCCATTCCCAGTGGGTATCCGAATATTTGCAGATCAGATTTAATACTTAGATCAAGGATTAATCACAATGAAAAACTCTGCAATGTAACTTGCAAATACCTCTCTTAAAAACAATTTTTGTAATGAGTTTTGCAGTACTACTAAACACCCTAAGGTGACTTTAAAATGCTTGAGAAAAGCTGAAATAACACAATTTATGAAAATCATGAGCTTTATTTGTAGAAATTTCCGTTTGAATTACAACGTTGAAACACTATTTTTTAATCATTATACCATAATGTTTCATGAAATATTTTCTGAAGAATACAGAAAAGAAGCAGCGGGGTCTTTTAATAAAACAAAGACAACGGGATGAAAAACTACAAACGGAGCGTCCAACAATAGTTTGAATTAAGGTCTACAAATAAACTACGCTTCCCATTATACATACGGAAAGCAAAGTCACCCCGCCTTTTCCGGTCGACTGTACCATTGAAGAATAAACTTATTTTTTGTCTCTCTCAAGAAAGTATTGTTATCTCTCATGTGATTTTTTTCTCTCTTTAAATTTAAGTGGGGGAACCATAGTTCTTCCAAGTGAGACTTTAGTTTATAAATGGAAAAATGAATAATTCAAACCAAAATCCGAATAATTGAATTTCAGACACTACAGCTCCCACAATACCTTTCGCCAAAATATACACGCATCGAACTCACCCGCAGAGCCTTCTCTTCATTGATTGGCGATTATTTCGGAACGTTCGCGCCAGTAGTGTAAAATGTGCGCGATTTTATTGGTCGCTGGGTGCAATAACTGAGACGTCGGGGAAGAGGCAGAACCGCCGTGCTGTTTGGCGGGAAAAAGGGTCAGGTTTTCGCGCCAAGTAGAGTTATTTAGGAAGAATTGTTTGTTTAGGCGCTGAAGCCAAAGCAATTCCTAGGGAGGAATTGAGACAGAGATGGCAGTGCCCGCGCCAACTACTTTGGATGATGCTGAATTGCGAGAAGCTCAGCGAGATTACTTGGACTTTTTGGATGATGAGGTGAGCAGGGGGTCGGAGAGTTTGTGCTTACCCAGGCGACAGCCTTACTGCTAAGCCGTAAAAATGCATATTGGCAAGATCTTACCGTGGGAGGAATGGAGTAATAATCATTCAGAAAAAGCACTTTTCTGCAAAACAATGGGTAGAGTCTACTTCGTGAGGAGTTAAAATGGAATTAGATAATTTATTTTCGAATGAAGGCAAAGCTCTCTGCTCTGATGAAGTTGTATTACAGCATCTGGTAGAAATAGCACTTACCCTGATGAGTTTCAATCTGTTTCATTAAGAATATGCGAGTGTAATTCCACAGTCCCAAATAATTTGCCAAGGATGAAGCAAGTTATGGTTTAGTTTCTTAATAATAGTTTAAACACATTGTTTTAATCCTTTTTCATGCAATTGCCTTCCATGACTAACCATAACTCTTGGATGCAGGACTTCTGTGAAATATTTGTGATGTAGGATAACATTTAAATTTATCAATAAAATCATGAAGGATCAAACTTGATTGTAAAGACTACCTTGTTTTTGCTAGTCAGTTTTTGGCTACAACTCCTCATGATCCTTTGCTATCGCCCATGCTAATTATAGAAAGTTGAAATCCAAAACATCTGCTCTCACCTGAAACAACATGATAAACAAGATACAACTTATATAAATATACAGTATACACAGCTTATACAACATGATACACAAAAGGAAAGGATATGAATATTATAAATTCCTTAGCAAACTGAACTGCTATTTTATATTCATGTGTGATTCTAACTAATTCCTTCTCTTAAAGAGAAAAAGATTTGGATAGGGCTTGTTGGAAGAAATATCCATCAGTTCCAAGTGGGGAGAAAGACACTGAAATATGGAAACTGATTGGAAAGATAGTTTAATGGTGAAGCAGAACCACCAAGCACATGTGATTCTGGATAGCTGACTCATGGAGGAGACACACACACATTCACTCTCTTGGGATTTGAACTTGAACTTTCTGTTCCTGTGCCAAGGAATGGTTGCTATCAAACTCCCATTGGGCCATGTGGGGTCGTGTTTGTCTTGAAGTCAAGTTTGGTTGAACCTTGGGCTGATGTAATGTAGGGGCTTGGTTATGCCATGTGGTGAGCTTTGCTGATAGATAATCCTGAAAGGTCATGTCTTAATCCCATCACCCTGGATCTGGAGGCCTTTTGTCTTGTAGATAGGCTGGGCCAGTCTTTCTCAATGGCACCAAATATCTGCTGGGGGCAGGGAGCTGCAAAGAGATGCTTTTTGTCTTTAAAAACATGTTTCTCCTTTTCTCATCCAGGGAAATATAATATTCTGCCTTTTTAAAAATATTCCTCAAAATATTTTATTTTTATAGAAGGGGGGTGGGTGGTAACTTTGTACAGGCTGAAATAATAAAATGCAGATAGTCCTCGACATACAACTACAACTGAGCCAACATTTCTGTTGCTAAGTGAAACATTTGTGAGTTTTGCTCCATTTAATAAGCTTCCCTGGTACGGTTGTTAAATGAATCAGTGCGGTTGTTAAGTTAGCAACATGGCTGTTAAATGACTGTGCCTTCTCCATGGATTTTGCTTGTCAGAAGGACCCAAAAGCTGTTCACATGACCCCAGGACACTGCAACTGTCATAAATTTGAATCAGTTGCCAAGCATCTGAATTTTGATCACATGACCATGGGGATGCTACATTGGTTGTAAGTGCAAAAAATGGTCATACATCACTTTTTCAGTGCCATTGTAACTTTGAAGTCATTAAGTGAACTGTTGTAAGTTGAGGACTACCTATATATCCTCTTTGTATTTATTTATTTTGCATTAGATGAAGACTTCCTTCTTTTCACTGTGAGAATAAGTAAAGCCAGGAATTTTCCCTAGTTAAGGGCCAAGACAACTCCCAACTGCACATGGCTTATTAAATGCTTTTGTGGAAGTGGAATTGTGTCTCATTGTCCTCAGTAATATAAGTTGAACTGGGAGGGGAATAACTATTATCATGTTGGAAGTTCTTTATCACTTATTGTTCCAGAGCAGCAGGGAGTCCTCATTTTATTTAGAATTGTAAACATCTAAAGAGTTACTTAGTAGCAGTGTTTCATTTTTGGGGTGAAATTGGGAAAATTGTGCACTTTTATTAGAAAGGTGTGCTCTGTGTTTTGTGAAATGGGATGTTTATTGTCAATAGCTTTTCGGGTCCACTTCTGTATGTTCCTTGTAATTTTTGTAGATATCCTGAATTCCATTACCTTTCTTCCAGTGAATGCAAAGACAATTTGCTCTGTACCAAGGGTGTCAAACTCACATCATGGTGGCATCATGTGACATATTGAGACTTTTTTCCTCTTCACTAAACCGGGCATGGGTGTGATGCATCTGGCCTGTGGACCAGGAGTTTGACAGCCCTACTCTACACATTTTTAATTTCCTTTTTTTGGATTGGGTGACCAACTCTGTTATTTGTCAGAAATTATATGATTTTTCTTTTTAAAAAAACTCATTTAAATCAAATTAAAAACTGTGGCTTAAATTGTAAGAAAATAATCTTGGCTTTTTATCAGGATGCAATTTTCCACTTGTATTAATGTACTATTTTAGCAAAAGCAAACAATGCTATGTTAAATATGCTATTTTAAGCTTATACTGTATTTGGATCCCATATCATTAGAATTTTTATATTAACTTAATTTCTGTAAAAGCAGAATTTAATGATTGTAGGTTTTGAAAACCCAACATCTTTTTATAGTACTTTATTTTACTTTTTTTAAAGCAGTCTGCTCTGAGATGTATCTAATCAATTCTTTCATAGTATTTTGCATATAAAACCAGCTATATCTACTGCATTTATCTGCCAGTTACAAAACCATGTTATGCATGCTCTTATTTGTAGAACGAGAGCAAAATTATTTATTTAGAGGATGCATAGTGCTCTAAAACATGCAGGAATGCAAGTATAGCACCTGTTTCAGTTCCATATAACAGCTGCATCTTTCCATGGG